CTTGAGCTATAAATTGCATTGTCAGGTGAGTGACACCTTACAGGTCAGTAGAGGTTGAACTGTATCTTTAAGAGCATCTTTATGTAGCCTACATTTTATTAACGTTTTAAGTACTCGTGTATTTTTGTCTAAAGGCGGATATACGGTCATTTTAAAAATGTAAATATATGTTCAATTAAAATTCACTGATTTTGCATCTTTGAGAAGATCCTTTTTTTTTTAATTTTTTTAATTAACTCATTAATTTTTTTTGTCAAAGAACCATACATGGTCTCTGCTTTGAATTGGAAAATACTTTAAACTGTTTTGCCGTTCAACAGTCCTAATTAGAATATAAGACAAAAACCTTCTTCCTCAAAGGTAACGTTTCTGGTATTGTATTGGAAGCTATGTGCCTTAGTTGTTGTGCACAAATGTGCTCACAGGCTTTTGGAAGCCTAGTGTCATTTAATATTAAATGCAGTCAATTTATTTGAGATGCACCATAATTAAAGATGAATTGTAAGTACTGGTTAACAGTGTTCCGGTCTAATATAGCCAGCGAAAGGCTTGTGACAGCACCCTCAGGACCAACACAGAGCATCATTCTCATAGCGCACGCTTTAACAGCTCAATAGAAATGTAGGTTAATGTGAATTTATTCTGCTCTGCTCGTGCATGTAAACACTGACACCGCTGGAGACAGATCTGTCTCAAACATGCAATGGGTTCATGTAACACCGCACAGAAACAATGTAGGTTATTGGGGCACAGCCAACAAATTAACTTCTTCTCTTGTCCATTATTGGTCTAGTGTGGTAAATGCAAACCCCTCGCTGATGGATATGCATTAGAGATGTAATTGATTCACAGATGAATGAGAGTTTGAGGCGTGTCCGCACGCGCAGCCTTTTATTGTGGCTCGTGCAACGTCTGTTTGTCATGCGAACTTGCAATATCCTAAAAACTCGTTTAGGGGGGATTTGTAATTTATTCCGTAGCTGGGGTTTCCAAATTAAACACGCATAAAAATGTAATTTAATCAGGAGCGCGCGCCGGAGAATTAGGACATCCGCGACGCTCGCGCGAGCGGAATATTTTTCAGGTTTTAATTTTGAGAGCAGACAGATTTAGTTTTATAATGCATGACATGAGATGACTGTAAAATCCTCAATACCACTGAGAAAAGTACTGTGGCAGTGCCATACACTTGATTCCCAGCTATAAAAACCATAGCTATGAAAACGTTATTTATGCATGTTTATAAACGTTCGAAACGTCCAGCTTGTTAACGTGTTAAGAATGTTACTTCTTGGTTATGTGAACATTAAAAAGAACATTGCGTTGTATCATTTAGAAAATGTTATGAGAACGCTACATTTGAATATTTGATTAATGTTTACTTTTTTTTTTTAGAAACTGCTATGAAAACACTATTTCTGAACGTTCAAAACATCCAGGAACATTCCATTTTATTATTTTGAAAACATGAAAATGGTATTTGTCGATTTTTCTTTTTTACATTCCAAATATCAAATTTTTTAAATTAAGAAAGTTACTTGGTTATGTGAACTTTAGGAGAGCGTTTTCAAAAGGTTATAGGAACATTACATTTAAACACTCTCTTAATGATTAAAACACCCATTTTTTATTTGTCAGAACATTTCCTCTCAACATCACCATAAAGTATATCAAATATTAATAATGTTGTAATAACGTTCCATAAACATTATTTTAAGATTTATTCCTAACATAAAAAAAACGTCAATGAAAGTTATTATGGGAATGTTACCCGTTATTATGACTGCTATAAGCCATGGTATTGCAACAATATGTGGTAAAATGCCACATTGCACCATGTTCTAAATCTGGATCTTTTTGATCCATAACCTTTACTGATTTTGTACTGTGCAAAGTTGGCATAGTTTTAAACATCAATCAATGTTTGAATGACTAGACAACAATGAACTAACATTAGAGTATCTGACCTTCCATTATAGATAATGGCTTTAGATTAAATGTTGTCATTTCAGTTTATAATATCCCATTTGCTTTGTGAGCTTTCCTTTATTCGCTTTTGCGTATAATTAGAGCATTAGAGCATCTTTTTATCCCCTTTCCACATGTTTTGAGCAGCCTATTTTAATACATCCAATTTGTGTTTATAACCTTCACAGCTGAATATCCAGACGAGGTTAAGATGCAGCTTTCTTTTGTTGTGGCCTTCTGATACATTGTCTTGGTTCTTTCTTCTCTGCTTACGCCATTGGTTGATTAAACATGCATTTACATAGCTTTTGTTGATAGTGAGCTATCGGTGTTTATCTATATGAAGGCTAATGAGAGATCCGGGCATGTTTAGAAGGTCATTATTGGGGTCGAGGAAGGTTGAAAGAGGCTGCTGGTGACCGAGATAAGCTGAGCTGTGACCCTGCAACATTTCTTTGCTCATGGCCAAAGCTACACTGACATAAGGGCATTTGACTAGTATGAGTCTAGCGCTCCGAGTTTAGCGTTTCTGACTCTCTGGTGACCCAGACGAACCAGTCACATTCCACTTATTGGTGTGGAGTTCTTATCAGTTTTATTTCACAATAAATTGACACATTGCTTGTTCTCCAGATAAGATAAGATGGACTTTTTGAGATTTAATGGCTCGTTGGAATCTGATGTTGAAAGAGCTTAAAGTCCCCATGAAATCAAAATACATTTTTTTGGGGTCTTAAGGTTATCTATAAGGCAGTGTGCTCCAAAACAGTGACAAAATTCGCATTTAGAAGACATAAGCATTCAAAGCTTTTAGTTCGTCACTTCCACCAAAATGGCTCAACGATTTTTTTGATGTCACATCGTACTTCATCTTCTCATCAAATCTTCTGACCAATCAAACGCTCTCTAGAAGCTGAAGCACCCGCCCCCTAAATAGACGCTGAAGCTGCGGCTGAGATCGGTCGCTTGTAGTGATGGGAAGTTCGGATCATTTTACCGACTCGCACCTTTGAGTCTCGTTCAGCAAAATGAACAAATCTTTTTTCGAGTCATTTCGTTCATTTTAGCAAAATACAATTAAAATGTTACGTGTTACTTCCCTAACACGTCTACTACTTACGCAAACGTTGATCACACTACAAACAATACAAAACCACTATAAGAAACAGAAAATATGAATTAATTGAATGAATGACTCAAACCAGAAGACTTGAGAGATGAACTAATCAATTCTCTTTCCGGCTCAGACTGCATTGGTTAAACTCATGGGGCTGTCACGTGATGAACGAACGACTCGAAAAACCCGAAGACTCAAAACAGGTGAACTATTTGACTAATTCCAGTACAGAACCTATAGGATGTTGCGCATGCGCGACTGAACGAATCACTCTCCGAGACGACTCGTTCTTCCCGAGTCACATTAAAGATTCGTTCAAAAGGAACGAATTGTTCAAGAACGACCCAACACTAGTCGCTTGTTCACAGTGTAGTATTTCCTGTACAGTGAATGGCACGTAGTGCACAATGTAGGCGAGAGGGAACGATTCAGACAGTGTATGCTTTCGATTGGGGCAAATGAGTTCTGGTTTCACGTTGTGTCACAGGAACCGCGGCAGCGCACACAGTCTGATCCGGACTTTGGCTCCGGTCCAGAGACGAGATCGCACGGAGTGGATCATATGCGCGAGTCAGCATATATTAAACACTTTTAAAACTACACACAGCCTCAGCATGATTATGATCACTATTTTGTTTTACTAAGAGTTTCATATTGAATCTAGGGGGTAATCTATTAGACTGTGGCTGTCAAATGTGGCTTTACCGAGCTCAACGGCTCCCTCTCACCCGTGCAGATATAAACAAAACGCTATTGGCTAATTTAAAAAGGGGGCAGGGCTGCTTGATATGTCCCGCCCTGTCTTCCTGTTTCAGTTGAAATTACATCACCACATAGAATAAGGCTGCGTGTTTTAAGGCACTTCAGGGGACCTTTAAGATTTTCACAAGACTGTGATGAGGCGTTTCAATGGTCAACAGCATCATAAATCCTCGAAACCTTTGTATATTTTGAGTTTTTTTTTAAATGTATGTACATTTAGAACACTATACTTTGTATTATTTTTGTAATAAAAACATTTTGTTCATGTTACGTAAAGAAGAGTGACCGAGAAAATACTAGACATTCTCAAATTGCATTTTCAACTCAACTTTGCAATTTTGTGCTGACGATTTAATTTGTAATGAAAACTGTATTAAATGGCATAAAATGCTAAATGGAATCATTTGAGGGTTTACAGGAGCAATACAACCTGTCGTATCTGTCCAAATCCTGATAGGACTAGAAAAGCTGCTGATAAAAATATAGATACAAAAATGGTATCACACCCCGAAACGTACAGAGAAAGGGGCTCTGGCCAACTAGGACACGTGTAATGAGTGAGCTGGTTTATCAGCGTCATTGTGAGTTTCAAACAGGATATCAGACTGGAGAACGGCCTTCTCAGCTTCCTGCTCAGCCTGAATCTCATGTCTTACTCTCAGCTGGAGCTCTCTATAAAACGCCATTTAAACCTTTTCTGTATGTATCAGTCATGCTTTACATAGTTGTGTACATGTTAGTTCTTGAGGCTTCTGTTATTCAAATGATTCCTGCTTTAAGCAGTCAGCAGCACTGAGATTTGCTTCTAGATCTGTCTTATGTAACAGTACATGCATTGCACAGTCTCAGTGGATGTGATTTCATAGCTCAGATTTTCTGTTTATTTATCTGTTATGAGATCTATTCTATCCTCATGGGTCTTCATGAAGGTTTTCCAGCTCAGTCACACATATAAATAGATATTTACTGTTTGATAAAATGTTTGAATGTTTTTAAAAAGAAGTCGGCATGGCTCCATTTATTTGATGAGAAATACAGTAAAAACTGTAATATTGTGAAATCATTTTAATCTGTTTTCTATGTTAATATTATATGTTTAAATGTAATTGATTTCTGTGAAGCTATGCTGAAATTTCATTAAATTCATAGCATCATTACTCCAGTCTTCAGTGTCACATGATCTTCAGAAATCATCCTGATATCTAAGAAACATTTCTACTTAACGTTGTAAAAAAAAAAATCAGGATGCTCTGATGAATATAAAGGTCAAAAAACGGCATTTATTAAATATAATTATTTTATAACATTAAATGGCTGTCACTTCATTAATTGAATGAATCTTTGCTGAATAAAAGTATTAATTTGTTTTGTTCGGTTCGGTAAATCATTCTCAACCCCGTCTCCTCTCTGGTTCTCAGTATGGCACAGAAGGAAAAGTTGCAGTGTCTCAAAGATTTCCATAAGGACACGTTGAAGCCATCTCCCGGTAAGAGTCCCGGCACGCGTCCTGAAGACGAGGCAGAGGGCAAAGCGCCACAGCGGGAGAAATGGGCCAGCAAGCTGGATTTCGTGCTCTCCGTGGCCGGAGGTTTCGTCGGATTAGGCAACGTTTGGCGTTTCCCGTACCTCTGCTACAAGAATGGCGGAGGTGAGGGTGTTTACATGTTTAATATGCCAACAAAATATGTTTGAGGTAACACTTTTCAGTCTTTGTGTACTGTAAATAGCGGCTAATGTCACACGCAAACATAATCTTGTGACATTAAAGGGATAGTTCACCCAAAAATAAAAATTCTGTCATTATTTTCTCACCCTCAAGTTGTTCCAAAACTGTAAGAGTTTCTTTCTTCTGTTGAACACAAAAGAAGATATTTTGAAGAAATTTGGTAACCGAACAGTTGCCGGTAGCCATTGATTTCCATAGTGTGGAAAAGAATACTATGGAAGTCAATGGCTACCGGCAACTGTTAGTTTTGGTTACCAACATTCTTCATATGTGACCCTGGAGCACAAACTGGGGGTAAGCAGATAAACATCACATTTTCATTTTTGGGTGAACTATCCCTTTAAGTCGCTGGGGTATATTTGTAGCAATAGCCAAAAATACATTGTATGGGTCAAAATTATCGATTTTTCTTTTATGCCAAAAATATTCCATGAAGATATTTTGTAAATTTCCTACTGTGAATATATCAAAACTTAATTATTGATTAGTAATGTGCATTGCTAAGAACTTCATTTGGACAACTTTAAAGGCGATTTTCTCAATATTTAGATTTTTTTGCACCCTCAAATTCCAGATTTTCAAATAGTTGTATCTCGGCCCAAATATGATCCTATCCTAACAAACCACACATCAATGGAAAGCTTATTTATTCAGCTTTCAGCTGATGTATAAATCTCAATAAAAAAAAATTGACCATTATGACTGTGGTCCAGGGCCACATTTGTTCTTCAGGTTTGGAAAAACATGAGGGTGAGTAAATGATGACAAATTTTATTTTTGGGTGAGCTATTGCTTTAAAACCTTTGAGCTCATTGCAGAAATGTTTGTGTGCAAATCTGTTCCTATTTTAAAAAGGCAGAAGAGTGTTTATAAAATATTTTGACCTTCTGCATGATTTACAAGTTCAAATATTAATATATTGCATTCTGTTATGTGCTAATAAATATATAATACTATACCAGTACTAAATATAATACTATATGTAGTAATATTTATATACTATTGTATTTATTAATATTTAGAATTAGCATTTATTTTCATATTTTCATTTAATTTTAATTTAATTTTAATTTTTAGTAATTTTGTTGTGTGCTTTTAGAATTTTATTTCTATTTAGCTTTTATTTATTTTTATTTCAACTTTAGTAATTTTTCTACGTTTGTTATTTTAGTTAGTCGCCAAGGCAACTTTTTAAAGTTTTTTAAGTTTATGTTTTTCATTTGGAATTTAAATCTTATTTCAGCTTTATTCCGATTAACTGAAAAGATTTTTACATTTACATTTAGTGGACGCTTTTATCCAAAGCAACTTACAAATGAGGACAATGTTAGCAATCAAAATCAACAAAAGAGCAATGACATACAAGTGCTATAATACTAATAATACTATTTTTAATAGTTAACAATGAAAACACAGCTTTCAATAGCATCTGTGACATACTGTTGTATTATTATTATACTATAATATTACCATCATTTTTGCATAATATGCAAAAAATTAGAAGCTTGTATTTTTATTCAGGCGCTTTAATAATACAAAAATGTGTATTATTTAAGCAGTACAATAATATAAATGGTACTTTTAGTGGTAGGTGTACTTTCAGAGATGTCCACTGTAATACATGAATGCAAACATAATTTTTGTTGATTTTGTTGTGTTTCTGGTCATTTCGCTTCCTGTAATGTGTCTTTTTTTGCTGAGTTTGTGTAATGCCTGCCTTATCTTGTGATTGTGTTTCCAGGTGCATTTCTCATCCCCTACTTCATATTTCTGTTTGGCGGAGGTTTGCCCGTCTTCTTTCTGGAGGTGGCACTCGGCCAGTTCACCTCTGAGGGAGGAATCACCTGCTGGGGGAAACTCTGCCCCATTTTCACCGGTGAGACAAACGGACGGATCGAGAGAGAGGACGAGACAGTCTGACTTTGACGATATTTAATGACTCATCGGGCTCAAGCACATTTTAATCAGCATAAATCATATTTCATAATGCTCCCATCCCCCCTACTGGCTACTAGCGGTCTCTCGCGACAATGTCGACCAACCGGCACGGCCGTTACTGCGATGCGCTTTGAGTCTGATTGGCTGCTGAAGTGGCTCGTTAAAGCATCTTCACTCTGACCTGCTTTCAGCATCTGATGCGGTTGCTAGGCAACACTAGAAGATGCTGTGTTCTTTTGAAACGCATCGTCATTATCTTATCTGTGTGTGAGCGGGATGTGGGTCCCTCATACAAAACACACACACACACACTACATGTGCATTTAATTCCCCGTGATTTGTTTGCTTTGAGCCGCTCTGTGCTTCAGAGCGCTGTGACTAACACCCCGCTCCGCATTTGGACATGTATTCTGATCTCCATGGCAACAGCAGTGAGAGGTGACTGAGATGCTTGCGATGGGATCTCCTCTCAGCTCAGGAGCCAAAATCTTGGTTGTGTTAGGAGCAGAAACGATTGAAATGATGAGAAACAACAGGACAGGAAGTGTTTTTTTAAAGCAGAGGTTTTCAATATTTTAGATTCCACAGACTGCCAAATATGATCACCCTCATGCGATATAAAGACCTGATTGATATATATATATATATGTTTTAAAATTTTTATTTAATTTGTATTTTTATCAAATTTATTTATTTAATATTATTAGTCTTATTTGTATTAATTATTATTATTTATTATTACATTTTTATTTAAATTTAATTTAATTAATTTTTTTGCATTTTAATCAAATATATTTATTTAGTTAGTATTACTGTTTAGTTAGTTCAATCGTATTTATCTTTACATTTTTACACTGCCTTTTTAATTTTTATTTATTACAATAAATAGTAATTAGAATAAAATATATGAAATTTTGTTTATTAATTTATTTTTAACAGATTTATTTTATTTAAATAAAATCTTGTTTACTTCAATAATTCTTAAATGCATTTATTTGAATAAAATTATTTTATTTATTCTGTTATTTAAATCAAATTGTATTTATTTATTTTAATTCATTAATTTGAATCAAATATTACATTTATTTAATTTAGTTACATTTAATTTATTTATTTTTAACTTTTACTTTATTTAAATAAAACTGTATATTTTAATCCAATTTATTTATTTAGTTAATCGTCCTAGTTAATCTTATTTTTCTTTATTTTTACTTATGTATTTAAATCAAATTGTATTTCTTTTAATCAAATGTATAATTCTAAGATTTATTTTTAAAATCACATTTATTTTATTTAAATCCAATTTTATTCATTTGAATGTTTTTATATTTTTTCATTAATTTATTAAAAATCAAATGTCTTAATTGATTATTATTTATTTAAATCAAATCAATTAAGGAAAGAATTAATTAATTTAGTTAACCTCTTTTTTTTTTTTCATGGACCCCCAGCAATCCCTTGCAGACCTCTGGGAGTCCCTGGGCCCCATTTTGAAAAGCCCTGTCTTAGGAGATATTTTTATTACTTTAGTGCCTGACCTCTATATACACACTTGCACGGGCATGTTGCTCACGTGGCTGGGTTTTATTTAGCACATACAGTGCAAATGAGTGATATTTCCTACCACCATGAGCCCATTCTCCCCTTTCACCCAATGACTAGTCTCAGCGGCAGCTGACTATTTTCTCTTGAAAAAGCACATGCATCTACGGTGAAGTCCTGCTCTTGCATACTCAAACGCACGTTTGGCATTCTGTTGTCAGCTGTCACGGCGGCTCCTGGCACCGCGGAGCGAGCTTGTGCCACTTTGTATTAATTATAGCATAAAACTAGCATTCGGCCCTCTGACTGCCCTCAGCCCTAGAAAACTAACACTAAAAATATGATTTCAGACGTAGTGTCAGAGCCAACAGGTGAAGCTTCATTGCTCTGAGAATAGAGTTGCTTCAGCTGTGTTTGATTCATTAACACACAGCAGGGCCCTCAGACAAAACAGAGGCTCTCTGTCTCATAAAGTCTCACGTTGTGCTCCGCTCTGCTTAGATGTGGCACATCTCATCAACAGACCGCATAATGTGAGGTATCATTCATATCGCTAACACAAAGACAGGTTACATGCAGTGCAAGCAGTGACGCTTGTCTTCTCATTTCTGAGCTGCTCTAGTGCTGGCAGTCTAATGATGAGCCATTGTTGGTTTGTGTTGGTCTGGTTAGTCCATCAGGACTGTTAGTTCCAGGACAGCACTACAGATTGCTTAGAGAACAACGATGCTGACATTTACAAGAGAGAACATTATATCAATAATGCCTACTGAATGGCTCTTGAGCATGAAATTGATCAAAATTAAACACTTAAATTAAAATAAATGTAAAATAAATTAAACCATATAGATAAATATATAAACAAACAAATAAATACCTACATAAATACATAAAATTAAAGCAAATAAATGTCAAATTTTCCAGTTTATGTATTTATTTATTTATTTCTAATATTAGATACAGTTCCTGAATATATTTAATATTTACATATTTAAATAAACTATTTAGACTA